GGATGCAGGTTAAGATCTTTCCCAGTAAGCCACCTCCTTGTGGTGCTAGACAGATTATTAGAAATGGGTTAATCAAGATGTGAGAGTTAGCCAGTAACTAACTCTCTAGAGATAATGGGCCAGACAGTGTTTAAATTAATACAATTTGTGTGTTGTTATTTCTGGGTGTAAAGCTAGCCATGCGGGAGCCAGGCGGGAACACAGCCCGCCACTCCTTTTACAGACAGTGAGACACATTTTTTTCCTGGTAGCATCAATTTACTTCAGAGAAGATAATGGTCCTCAGTACGCAGTTTGCTTTCTTTGTGGCAAAAGTTAGCCATTTAGACAAGAGAATGCCCTTGCATTGACTGCTGACACCATGTTAGGAAACTGAACAAGAAGTACACAAAAAAAGCAACTTCCAAATTTTGCTATGACAGGACAGGAGAGTCCTTCAAATTTCCTGCTTCACAGAAAAGTCTCTCAGATATTTCAGGCCTATAAGTTGACAATGGATGCCCAAACATTGCAGAGGACCTTGGGTGACTGTTCAGGAAGCCAATTATTTCTATCATTTCTATACTTTTAGAAGTTATTTGTTCTGTACTTTTTGTTTATTCAGGTAATATTATATTCTTCTGGGGGCACTAATGAAGTTGAAGACTTGATAGTTATAGTTACAGTTTTCCATGTTACCAAATTCAGAAAGGAAACTCACAAAAGAGGGACAATGTGTATATGGTTGGGAAACATAAAAGCTTAAACTGTTTATCTAAGAAAATATTTGAGGCCTAAAAATACAATTTTGGATTGGGAATATAAGCTAGTATAGAAAGGGAATCAGGTCCAAAATGTTGGACTCACCAAGATGGAATAAATAATGGAGTATTTTCCGCTGAATTTGCCAAATGTAATTAGGCTGGATATTATTAATGCAATACCTAATAATTGTCCTCATTGTATATAGTTTTTACTGTATTAGAGTCAAAACTTTCCCTTACTATTTAGAATAAAAGGGAGAAATGTTCCAGGATATTTTGATCGCACTCTGACACTACTGAACTTCCAATAAAATTTGCTTTAGTCTGAGGGCAGACTAGCTACTAGCTGAACAAAATTAGACACAAAGATTTTGGAGAGTCAAGGGCATATAAAGAGACAAAGAAAGTAGTAGGGAAGGACTTGGAGAGATTCTAGATCTTCTAAATTAAGCAAGGAAAGAGGAGGTCACCAGTTGCTTCTCCATTATTTCTCTGATCAATCAGGTCCTTACCCCAATATCTGACTCCCAAGTCTTTATTGATAAAAGAATCATTAGATAAACACTTCAATTTAGGAATATAATTTATGGAAGTATTTAGTCTGATACTTACAATATAGGGAACATTTCACAGAAATTTCAGGAAACCTAAATACCTGGCTGTACAATGGAAAACAGATGAGCATCAACTGTTGCTTCCTTGGGACTAATGATAGAAACTCCGGAGTAGATTATTCTCAACACAAAAAGCACAGAAGCACATCCATTTGATCTATGTATGTATGCAGCTTCAGACACAAAGACCTAAAGAAACAGGGCAAAGTATTTTTATGGAGAGGAGGAAGTGAGCTCGGAAAAGAAAGCGGTGCTGTGATCTAACAGCAGTAAGCTGGGGTAACTTACGGAGACCTGCTTCCTGAGTCTTCACGGCTTACCAGAAAAAAAGGAGGGCCCTTCTGGGGAGATTGTCTTATGTCTACTTTTGGGGAAGATAGGTCAGATAAATCTTTTATGGCCTCCTTCAAGGTAGGAGTGTGAATGATGCTATAAAGGGAATCTTCCTCCTGCCACAGTTTTCTCAGTTCCTTCATCTTAACCTATTCCAGCGGCCAATGAGGCAACTTCCTGGACAACATGTTTAAGAATCATAAATAAAGACAAAATCTATATATATATATATATATATATATATATATATATATATATGTGTGTGTGTGTGTGTGTGTGTGTGTGTGTGTGTGTGTGTGTGTGTGTATACACATTCCCTGGAGACTAAAAAGACAGCATGAAAAATGAACATTTGTAAACAAACAAATGTATAAGAGACAATGAAGAATTTCTTGACAGGAATCCAGTTAGCCAACAGGACAGGGAGCATAATGTTCACCAGGGCAACTTGCGTGGGTGCAGGGCAGCGCTGAGTAGCTAAGAGAGGACACAGATTTCTTCTGAAACCTGCAGGGTGTCCAGCTCACTGCACTGATCATCTGGTGCCTAGCAGTGTTCTACTTTTAAGCTTGAGAAGGAAACCGAATAATCAATTGTGAAATAAGAGGTCACTTTTTACTTCAATATTTCCTTTTCCTTGTTACATGAGTCTTACTGAGTAAGCCAGGCCACCCTGTGTGTTGCTAGGCAGAATCTAAAGCCTCAGGAAAAAAAAATCTTGAAGTGCCATCATGTTGAAGAGGCTAACTCAGTGGTGTCCCCTCATTAACAATAACAACAGTTGCTTCAGGGGAAAAGACCATTAGTGGGCTATTGCCATTACTACCTGGCATGAGACAGAAGTGATTTAGCGCTCAGACATCAGACACAGCACTGAGAATCTCACACATAAGAAAAGGGAAATAAAAAGGGATATGCCCCAGGCTTTCCATGGTAGGCTGTCAAACGCCCCTTTAAAATGTGCAACAATGCGAATTTCAAAACATCAGATGCTCCCAGCCTCATTCCAGAACCTTCAAATGGTACACATCTGGATTCTGAAGGCGCCACTCTGCTCCCTGGAGAAGTTGCCCTGCTGCAGGGCGGGGTTCTATGCATCCCGGTTACCCAAACACCATCACTGAGTTACTTTGTCAGCAGAAGATAACATGGCTGGGAAACACCCATTTTTGGAAAGATCAGATTGTGTGTAATAATGAAGATTCCTGTCCTATCCCAGCGATATTAGTTAGGGGTTTACTCAGAACAACAGCAGAGATTCTTTGTGGTGGCGTCTATGCTGTTTAGCTGGTATCCAAATAAACTTTCAAGGAATGTGGTGTAAATATCACACAAAGTTTGATAAACACAGAATATATACTTCTATATAGTAGGACTTGCTGTAGCAGTATAGTTAACAACAGTTTACTATCTTTTCAAGGAGGACTGTGTGTGTGTGTGTGTGTGTGTGTGTGTGTTCGCATGTGTGATGAGTTTTTCTTCATGTATGATATTCCACAAAGGATGTGAATGGACCCCACAAATTTATACTGTGGAAATGCTTTGACTGGTCTGGAAAGAACAAAAGATTTTCAAACGCAATATGCTTATTTTAAAGAAAAAAGGTACAATTGTTACAGAAATCAACTTAAGCGAAAAACAATACTGACTATGGTAAGTACACTCAATAATTCACACATAATACTTTATATTATAAATCTGTCCAACATCAACATCATTAAAGCTAACAAAAACATGATACCTTGTTCAGGTAAGTGGGACAATGTGGAGTCTGAGACCCCATAGTCATGGTCTTCAGCCTTCTGGACTCAAGGCTTACTTGTTCTTTTTAAAGAATTCCATTTAAAAAATCATCTCCATCTTCCAAATACCGCAACATCTCTATCAACCACAAAAGAGAGCCCTTAGCACTCACCCCCATTTCATCCTTCTCCTGGCCCCTGGGAACTTCTAAGTTATTTTTTTTATCGTATTCAAGTCCATTTGTATAACAAATAACTTACCTGTCCTCTTTAGAATTGTGAAGTAAAATCCTGAGAGTACATAATACACCTGCTCACGTAAAATTCACCTGTTTATCCATCTGTGTGTTCTACTGGATAGCTGTGCATTCTTCCATGCACTTGCTCTGCCTTTGGTACTCTCCATGTTTGCTGAAACTTCACCAAACCCTAATCCAGTGCATTTTGAATTTACATTTGAATTCTGAGTTTTAAAACTCTGGCAGCCAAGCTTGAATATCTATGCATTGTTTTTCAAGAATCAATTTCAAAACAAAGTTACTGATGTTGCATCCTTTTTTGGCATCTGAATATTTGGATGCTTAGCATGGTCAGGGGCGTGGATGGAAGCAGCATGTCCCTCAGTTGTGTTCTCTACAGCATGTGTTTGGAGAAATTGGGGTCACTCTTTTTATCACTAGGAATTTGCTGGCTTTCCTTTTGAGACAACAGGTCACCATGAAACTCCCCGACATCCTATCTCCTACATACCACAACGGAGCCACACTCATCTGGTGTGACTTAGTGCCAAGTTACCCTGCTAGTCAAGGCCACCCCTAAAGCCCCAAAGCCTTATTTCACCATGTGTAGCATCAGCTGCACAGTTTGGTTGGCTTCTTATTTCCATCACCGCAAACCCAGTCTTTTCTGTCACTTAGGCATCGAACCCAATGTTTTGTGAAATAAGCTAGACTCTTGCTTCACAACCATCAGGCTCTTTTAGTTTTGTCCTAGAGGCCGTCATAATAAATCCTTCCTTCCTCTCTTGCACACTTCAAAACCGTTTTTGAACTCCATTGATCCCATTAAGTTTGAACTTTGATATTTAGTTGCAAGAGAGAAGAGAAATATTGTCGGCGTGAAGAGAAAACAGGTCAAGGGACCAGGAGCGAAAGGAGGCACCTGACACACAACAATGTCCCCTTCCTGGAGAAGGAATAAGTGAAATTAAATTGTGTGCAGAAGTAAAAACATACCAGGTGATCTAGTCTCTACAGGACCCATAAAACCCATAGGAAGTTGAGGTGCCCTGCCCTGTTTTGATTTAGGACTCCTCGATTTGGTTTCTGTTTTAGCATTTTCACAGTAATGATTTTACTACACAGGGTAAACGTCTTGTAAACTAATGGGAAACATATTGTTTGGCACAGTTTATAATGTCAAAATTTATGGTTCCAACACCGAGGGTCTCTCTGACCTCGAAGATAACATAATGAAACAGCAGTGTGCCGCAAATGACTCGTTGTGGTTTTTTTATTAGCTCCCATAATCGCCTCTTATTAATTTGTGTGCACATAATAACCACTCACCTTCACAGTCTGTCCAGCTTCAGGACCATCCTAGAAGAAGGAGAAAGAAAGAGAAAGAGTTGAGGGGAGAGCTGACGGATGATATTGCCTGCTTATTCAGAAATATTGCTCATTAATAATTTAGATCCAATTTCATTGTGTTTTAATTTGTAGTAGTCCCATGGGGACCATTCATTCTGAGTGTGTGGGACCAGACAGGTCTCCAATTCCTTCTGAGTGAGGAGTTATGTATAAAATGATATGAATTATCAAGCAAGCCACTCCTTTCTACTTTACATGCTCTTTGCATTCCATTATGGCTTTAATCACATTAAAGGTAAGGCCGAAAATGTTTGAGGAGGTGAAGGACCACAGTTTGGTTATCTTTAAATCAGAAATCACTTAATTAATATCTGATTGAATTTCTCCTCTAGAAATCAACAAAGCAAGAAGATGAAGCATTTAGATGGGCATAATCCTTGCAAGCTCTTGTGACCTTGAGGCATAAAAGTAGAAGTGATGGTTGGGGGTGGATCCTTATCCATGTATCTATCCCCCTTCCCAGATTCTCATGGTCACCAAGACTATGACCTGCTGTCATTGTCATTGCTGATTATGAGCACACAGGCCTGGTCTCCGAATGCCATAGGAAGGGAAAGCGGCTGCTCCTGGGGGAAATGGCAAATTTCTCTGCGATCAATAAATTTCCAAATAGAATTACCAGTCTGTGGTTTTGTCTATATATACCTCTCTGTGAACCTGACTAGTGGGAAGGAGTCATGCCCCTTGGCATAAGTCTGATGTGTATATCAAGCCTGTTAAAACTTGAGCCATAACCCATTAGTGGCTTATGAAGGCCCCATCATTTCTAACCAGTGATCACTCAAGAAGAAAGCTGTAAGAATGTGGGCGTTGAGTTAAGGTTACTTTATGCAACTCTAGCTCTCTATCTTCATAGGTGCGTGTGTATGTGAGGGTACATAGAACTGTTACACACACATATATGTTACTGTGAAGTATAATTTTCAAGTGGCTTCACAATATGGCTTATGCAAAATTGCTCTAATTTTACACATAGTCAGCCACTATACTAATGAACTATGCTTTGATAACCAATCCTGATACCTCCTGGCAGATGTTCTCATCCATTTCCTTTACCTGGTCTCCTTGGAAACAGTTCGCAATACAGGTTTGATACACCCACCCAAAGTTGAACTACTGTCTGAAGGTGACTCAAACTGTATTTATAGGGATGCTGAGCTACTCCCAATACAGAGAAACCAGAATTTGTGTTTCGAGAAAGAGATGAACATTTTTGGTCAAAGACTTCACTATATTGACTTTTATAACCTAGTCTATTTGGGGGTCTATGATAAAAAGCACAGGAAAGATCATAAAGAGGGTGTGAGGGTTAACAATTGATGGTCATGTGATTTAGAACCAATTTTAGACATGTTTATCAGGGAGTTTCCAGATTAGAGTGATCGAGGAGGGTAATTCAATGCTAAAAATGGGTAGTGGCATCTCAAAGGCTAGTGACCTGAACTAAATGAAAGGAAGAAAGTAGGTGAACTGAGCATCTATTCTCTTCCTTCTGGGCTACACTGTGGCTACGGTGTAAGCAGCTGCCTTGTATTCCTCTTACCATTTCCCTAACCTCACACTGTGAGTCAAAATGCATCTTTGCTTCCTTAATTCAGATCTGTCAGGGTATTGTGTTACAGCAACAAGACCAACTGATGCAGATGGGAAGCATGCTGGCTCACTAGGGCAGCTGAAGATACAGTCCCCATATGTGGGAGAAGTCAGTCAACAATGTCTAAGCACAAGGGCCCTTACGCATACACGGCTGTCCCTAGCCCTATCCACAGGGATCTGAAGGGGTTCGTGGGGTGTTACTAATTTACTCAGCTCCCAACTGTTGACAGATGTATCACGGACATCCCCATCTCGACCTGAAGAGTACTAATCAAAGCTCTACCTGTCGATCTTTGGTGATTGAAAAATCTGTTTTCTTCCATTTGTAGCGGGCCATACTTAACAACCCCAAGTACAAACCTGTGACCCAACACTGTGGTCTGTATTATGTTTAGAGAAAAGCGAGCCCTACAAAGAGAAGGCTCAGATTAGCTGTTGTGTCATTGCTCTCCCTGGAGTCACAGCAGGACTATGTCTGCGCAGCAAAAAGCCTTCCCCCGCTCTAGTTCCCATGTAAAATCCTACGACTGGTTAGTTTTCATCAACTTGAAGCAAAATAGAAAAAACTAGAAAGAGAAAACCTTGGCGAGGAATTTCTATCGTCAGATTTGCCTGTGGATATGTCTGTGGAGAGATTTTCTAGATTGCCAATTGACTGGGGGAGGGTCTGACGTGCTGTGAGCAGGGCGAGCCCTGGGCAGTTGGCCATGACTATCTAAGAAAGGTAACTGACCGTGAGCCCAGAAACAAACTAGTAAGCAGTGCTGGCCGTGGTCTCTGCTTTCATTCCTGCCTCCAGGTCGCTAATTTTTAAGCTTTTGTTTTAGCTTGCCTCAATGGTGGGGCTTGAGTGTGGAAATATAAGGCAAATGAACCTTTTCTTCCTCCAAATTGCCTTTGGTTTGTCTTATCCCAAAAGAGATGTAAACTAAGTCAAGCCCCTAAAACCTTTTGTCTATGACTTCCACCTACATTGTAAACAGCACACCAGGAACTTACTGTGATGCCATTCCATAGAACACCAAGGGGCAGCTGCCTTGGATTAGAGGCATCTTTTTTTTTCTGCGGATCACTAAAACTACTTCTCTGCTAAAATGGCTGGGATAGAGAGCCGCACGCACAGCTTTGTGAAGAAAGGAAAGAAACATGTCTGAACAATTTGTCCACTCACTTGCATGGAGAAGGTGATGGAGGTCCCCTGGAAATGTTTCTCCACCACTGACCCTACTCTCTGGGTCACTTGGAACAAATCGGCCACTTCTTCAGGACGTAGGTCACGGAAGCGCTCCACTGGCCTCAGCGGGCACACAAGGACATCTGCAATCAGGTGGGTTAAGGAAAGTCTGGCTTGCTTTGATACTATTCTTAGGGCGTGGTTTATACAGACAGCACTCTTGGCCCGGGACCTGAACTCCTGAAGACTAAGAAACAAACAAAGAAATAATTAGCAACCAAGAGCTTTAAAAGATAGTTAGTTTGCTTTGTGGGAGACACCTTGGAACACAGGAAAATTTAAGAAAAGACATGGTCATGTGCACAGTGATACCGAAGCTCGCTGTGATAATTGCAGCAGGAGGCAAGATCTATTCTGGGCCATTATCACATGATTCCCCCATTCTGTGGCTCATCTTCCCCAGTAGCTAAAGACATGATGATGGGAGAGCAACTGGACCGTCTAGGTGGTTTTGGTAGCTAGAACATCATGATTACACTGTCAAGCTTCCTTTTAGAGAAAAGATAGGAAAACAGGAAATGTGTGGTAGCAGACTGTTTTAGTTTTACAGGGTTACTGATCCTCAGACAAGGTACCGTGAACCTTATTTGTAGCTAACAAACATGCCACAGTGGTCAGATGTGGCACATGGGTAACAGCCTATGGGGGCACACAGATGTGAGCCTGTTCCACCTTGACGGTTTTAGCTCATTCTTGCTCTCTCAATGATATCGACAACAGGTGTGGCTACAAACAAGAGATTCTGACTTAGGGTGTGGTTAGCTAGTATTTGGGGGATAGAGGTGAATCTGCTCCATCTGGACCAAAGGCTGGAGAATTCAAGTCTATTCCTTACATCATGTTGAAGTTTGTTGCCTCCCTCTCCCCTTTCAGAGTGAAGTATGTAAGTATGTGGAAAATAAATGCAGACAGAGCATTCACTTATTTTCCCTCCCTATGCTGTTCTGTGTTTCTGTCTCTTATTTTTCTCATACCTCTGTTCCTTTTGTTTAGCAATTCTAACCCTCATGCTCCTACCCTGGAACATACAAATTTTGTCAAGGCAGGTCTCCGACAGCAGCCTATAACACGGGTTCCTTGAATGGATTACTCATAGCCCAAGATATTTCCAGTTAAATATTGAAAGAAAAGTCATCTCTTGTGTCAAAGAAACTGTTGTAATGCATTCTACAGGTTAGACTGGGCAACATATTTACCTTTCTGATCTGAGAAAATACCCAGGTATAGAGAAGAAGGATTAAAGTTTATCGTTTATTGGTAGCAAACTTACAGTTATGATTACATTAATATTCCACATTCCTTTTTGTACATTAACCTTTGGTATATGCATGTGTACACACATATGTGTATGATATATAGATTTGCCCTTTTGCAATTACAGAGATACCTGCTTCTTGACTTGTGAAGGAGGTGCATCTCAATAAATCCATTGTAAGTTAAAACATCTCTACACAAATTCATGGAATACAGCTAACCTAAGGAGCATCAATGCTTAGCTTAGCCTTCCGTAAACATTAGCCCACAGATGGGAAAAATATCTAACTTGCAAAGACCATTTTCAAATAGAATACTGAAAATCATATGTAATTAATTGAAGGCTGTAATGTAAGTGAAAATCCGAGTGGCTGTATTGGAATGCTTCCCCAGTATTGTACCTGAGAAATAAATGTCAACCCACTGTACTCGGGATTGACTCTGTGTATAAACATACTGCATACACTATTTGTTCACTTTCCAGACATTTGCTAGAGAAAACAAAACTGTTAATTTTTCTTTAAATGTATCTCCCCCCCACCTTTCTTGTTGTAAGAAAGCATGCTTCTGCCTGGAGCCAAGCAGCAAGGGATCTCATAAAACCACAATCCAGCAATTGCGAGTCTCACCAGAATACAAAGCGCTTTAACCCATCACACTGTTGGACTCAAGGCCTTGGGGGCAGGACACAGAGCTCAGCTTGGCAGGCCTGGTTTTTATATGAGATGGGGGGGGGGGAGAGGCAAACAAATGAATTTGGCTTAAATTCTGGGAATTCACATCCACAGTAAACCAGGAAAGGGGCTATTTGTTAATCTGAGTTCATTTTTCAAGAGGAGAAGGGCGGCTCCACCCACCCGCCATCTGATACTAAGAAAGATAATCGCCCTTCTCTGGGAGGGCTGTTTGATTATCTTGGGTCAATGAAACACTTAGAAATGAAGAATTTGCTTTATTTTTCTTTTAGAAGATTGGCAGCCTCTACTGCCACAGGGCTGTTTTCTCTTTGGGAAGAGGGACATTTCCCATCTTCTTCCTCCCTACTTTTTCCAACATGGATTATTGGGAAATTTCACACAATACACCCCAATTACACTCAAGCCCCATTTCTCTCAGGTTCATGCATAAAAGAAATACACCAAGTACAATTTGTGTTGCCCATATACTCCTGGATCACGGTCAAATCCCAGTGGTTAGCTCCTTAAAGACAGTGGCACCATTTCCCATGCCCCCATCAGAAGTCATTCACTGTGAACCTCCTTTTCCCAGTCCTTCTTTAGACACATTAGATGTCCATCTTTCTTTTGATCCTCAAACATGCTAGGCTCCTTCCCTCCCAATCTGGGGGAGCTTTCCTCCATTTCCTGTGTAAACTTTAGTTGTCTGTCATCCTCCCATTCCTGCTTCCTTCCCATCATTCAGATTTCAATTCCGCAGTCATTTCCTCAAAGAATTTTACGATACACATTTTTAAATTACTATCTTATTGTCTTATTTCAATTCTTCTTATAACCCTGGCCACCAGCTGTTACTGTTCTTGACTGCTCTCATAGGAAGAATGACTTGGTTTTGGATATTGTTCATTGGTGTCTCGAACTCCAGAGACATTTAGTACTGCCGGAGTGCATAGATAAATGACAACCATGCACTCATATCGGCCACGTCTGAGGTCTAAGAGCTTGACTAACTAAGATGATATTAATGTAATATCTAGCTTTATATATAAGAGAGGGATAATACACTGACTTTTTATTCAAATCAAGAACTTTTTAAAATATGAATCATGATTAGAACTAATGCTTAGTGCTAATTCAGAAGGGTAAACTTATTTTTACGTAAACTAGTATTATATGAGTCCAAAGGAAATATAATTATGACAGTAAGGTATTTTAGAAATCCTCTTAGAAGTAGACAGAAATGGTTTACAGAAGTGATTTGTTTCTATTTGGATTCTTAGACAATCTGTATCTATATAAATGCTGCTTCAGACCATAATGAAGAAATGTCATTCCACTGGGCTACGAGGTAGCTCAGTGATTTATTTCTTTCCTAAAATGTTTGCGGCCTATGAGTTCATATCTAGCACTTGAAAAGAATAAACGTAGCTCATATATTCACTTACATTGAACCCCAGTAATGTGCACTAGTAAACTCTGGCCATAACATAAAAGAGATAATTGCTCTTATCCTCCTTTCAGCCCAAAAGGCAAGAGAGGTATGGATAACTTCAGTAAAGAAAGAAGCACAGATATAAGCAAAGAGAGGTTGAGACAATAGAGAAGGGCCTGTGCTGGGGCGCTGAATGCCAAGGTGGATAGGAGAGAAAGAGGATTTTGAAGAGTCTGCACTCTAGCATCCCAAGTTATCATAGGCTGTGAGCAGATTATTGTAACCAAGAACCAAACACACTGCTATGGACCATAGAGGAGGCTGAAAGTAGCTGTTTTGTGTGTTGGATAAACTTCTCCATCTGCTTTCTAAGAGAACTGCCCCTCCAAAATTAGAGGAAAGATGCCTTTGGAAACAGTCTAATAATTTAAATATAGATTCGAAGAAAGATGCAGGGCATTCCTCCTGGAGGCAGAATCACTGTCCTATTTATTAAATTATGGCTTACAGAAAAGAAACTTGCCAACACAGTCTAACCAAAACAGATTATAATGAGAATCAATTCCCAACTCTGCCTAATTCTACAGACCATGTCAGTGAGAGTCGCGCTATGATAGTATCCCGCTTGGAGTTCTATGTTTCAGGTTTGGACTCGACCTTCACTAAATATCATATAAAGGTATATGTCTGGGGATATAAGTCATTATATCCTTACAGAAGAGGAAGAAGTGGTAGAAGGGAGATACTGTGCACACTGCTCAGGCTAGGGGCACACAGCGTTAGATGAAGAAAACAGTAAAGAAGGATAATTCCACAATGCAGAGAGAGCTTCGTGCTGGGTTGTAGCTCTCTAGTCCTAACAAATAATTACAAGAATCTAAGAACCATCTTGCAGCAGTGTTTGAGCTGAAGCACATAAGAAAGGACAGGATATATTTTGGTCTTTTCCATTCTTGACTTTGGGGTTTTTTCCACATATGTTGGCTCTTCCTAAGGAAGATTAGATGCTACAGTCAATATTGATGCTTAGGGTTATCTCACAATGAATGTCTCTGCTTATTGGGCATCTAATTATTGGCAATCCATAGCTTTTTCACATCATTTACATCCTGAGAGACCACCAGAAACTTGGTTTTACCTCTTCTTACTCTTTCTCATACCTATCACCGCTCCTAAAGTGACTTTCTTCATACAGAAACAGTATGACCAGCCTGACGTTAAATTCATTGTATTTGCAGCAGATTCAGAATACACACACACACACACACACACACAGAGAGAGAGAGAGAGAGAGAGAGAGAGAGAGAGAGAGAGAGAGAGAGA